CAGGTTTGGGACAATATCAAGAACCGTCAACTGTGGGTCGTGCTTTTCCTCTATAAATGGACGAAAATCTGAAGAGATCTCAAGTATCAGATCCGCTTTTTAGGATTCAAAGGTATCATCGTCGTTGATTTTTGCTAGCTAGTCTCGCTAACATAGAAGATGTTAGGCGTTGTTGTTGTGGATCCCCTTCTTGAACAAGAGCACCCTGGACTTCATATGCTTTTGCGTGAGTCCATGTTAAAGTTTGAAGCGACCGAACAGGATTCGCAGAGTGCCGAGATCGAAGTCGTGAGAGCCTTCTTCAGTCCAAACCTTCCTTACTTGAATCGGTCTGTTCTTTCTCCCTCAAAAGAATAAAACCCGCTCATCTCAATATTAAGTGCACTCATCATGATCCTTGAAAGCCTTGGCGTCGATTATAACGCTTTTCAGCATCTCCAAGATTTGGCTGTCCGGGAAATACGAACTATCGATGATTCTTCCGAAGATTTTCGCTCAGTTCTCTATAACCACAAACTTTCAACACGCTTCCACATTGCCAGTATTATCGAGCGTCTTGAAAAATTAGGAGGGGTACTTCATGGCCATGGCAAACGCAAGATTGTCTATGACAACCCCTTCTTTCAAAGTGTCAGAAATGTCACAAAGGCAGCTGTGTTGAGAGATATAAAGCATAACGCAAGAATTCCTGTCATCGGCGATAATAATAACTTCTGTGAGCGACCTTCATTTGGCGCATTAATGGTTGTTGCTGATGACCGTGTGGTCCAGTGCTTGTAGGGATAGCCGATGAGGGACCTGTATATGCTGAGAAAGGGATGGATGTGTTTTGCCTTCCAGAAGGAAACGTGTATGCCTGTGTTCAGCGATCGAAATCCGAGGCTCCAATTTGGCTCGAGGGCCATTGTTCCGTCTCTCGAAGTCCGCTTGCGCACCCTGGTGATAGTGAGTCCGTTTTGAGTTCGCAAGGTGATATTTTGTCTGAAATTCTACAGTACAGAGAGTCTGGGCGTACGGTAAACCACCAGCAGACAAAATCTGCCTCTTTGCTGATGTCAAAAATGCCTTGGTCTTTTCTAGTCTAGGTTTGTCTTCCAGTCCTGTATGCGTTATCACATTAAATATTTCGTGTGTAGGGGAACGTTCACTCCCCTCTCAGCTCGGTGGCGGTGATGTGGATGGAGACCTTTATAGCATACTTTGCGAACCGACTTTGCTGTTTAGTCGCTTCGAATCTCCAATGAATTACACACCTTCAGAACCTTGGACCTTAGACGACGACGAGGGCGAGGCAAATGTGAATCATATTTGTGAGTTTATTGTAGAGTATATTAACAGGTACATTTTTCTCTCTTACAACACTATTTGTTGACCAGTGGCGTAGTGATGTGCTGGGCTTGTTGTCCGATCGACTTCTGGTACATGTCTTTTCTGACTTTTATCATAATTTTTGACTGAACTAAACTTCTCAGATCATTGCAGACCAGTCTCGAGACAGCATTCGGGATCGATCCTGTATTCGAATTGCTCAGCTCTGCTCTCAGGCCGTTGACTATCCTAAGAATGGCGTTCCCGTCGATCTAGACAAGGAACGCCTTCCACATACATTGATTAGATTAAAACCAGATTGGCATTGTCCTGAAGGCGAACCTCTCGAGTCCGTATCCGCTTCTTCTTTTTTTCTTTCCATGATTTGTTGATTGCTCTCCTGTTTCAGGAAATCGTTGGATTATTACCCTAGTCAGAAGGCTCTGGGCAAATTATTTCGAGATCCCAACCTCTCTTTCCCCTTCACAAGCTGTTAAGACGGGTCTACATCCTCCTGTTCTTCCCAACCCCATCTCTATACTTTTTCGACCCGTCATCGACATGTACATTCCTCGAGCATCGCAAAATGACCTGCTGTCAGACTTCAAACCTCCCCCTCTCTTCAAACGCTATGCAGATGAACTCCAATACATCTGCACTGTTCACTCGCTCACTAATACGCCTGGCGCAGCTTTGTTAGAAGCAGAAGTTGTTGTAGGGACGATCCTCGCAAGATGTGTTCAGAGAAGGTTTAGGAGCTCTAGGATTGAGCAGATGCGAGTACATGTTGATATGTTGGTGAGAACTGTGCAGAGAGACGTGCATGGTATTTGGAATCCTGAGAGCCGGAGCGGAGAAGATGAGAGAGAAGACATGATTGAAGTTTTAAAGCGGGCTTGGCAGTTATGGGAATTTTTGACGGACAAGACTGATGTTTTTGGAGCAAATAGTTTGGGACTGCTTGCACTGAGGATCATTTGTGATGTGTTGAATCGCTTGGAAGGGTAGGTCTTTGCACATTTTCGTAGCCCTAGCAAGGGCAAATGAAACACCTGGACTTCGGTGACACAATAGGGACTGTAGGGAACAAGGATTTTATTTTACTAATAAATGCATGTCAAGTCGAAGAGTTAACGAAGTACTTCAGCCCTTATTCCTAGTAGTAAACCCGCGTTTTCTCGCCAGCTTCTATAGGAGCGAGTATTCAAGATGATTTCTATTAACCAAAATCTATGATAGTCGAAAAGAAATGTATACAAAGTGGAAATCAATGACTAAGGATACAAAGAATGTAGTACCATACATGGGATAACATCGTGTTGAGAGTGTCCGAGTTTGTCGTAAAAGTCCGAGGGAAAAATGAGGGCTTCAAGCCTGAATTGTTGCTGTGAGCAAACTGGCGATAGAATCGGTGTTAATGTTGCCAAGGTTTACACCTGCAGCCGGGGCTGTTGGGGCTGGTCCAAAGCTGAATGCCAAGGAAGCGGCAGAGGAGGAGGATACGCTGGCGGATGAAGAGGATGAAGGTGTCGCGACGGATGCCACAGAGGAAGAGGCAACAGCTGATGAAGAAGTTGCAACCACGACCGATGAGCTACTAATACTGGCTACTGCTGGCACGCTGCTGACAGCTGCAACGGGAATAGAAACGCTGGAAGCGCCTAACAGCTGGCGGGGCGACCGAAGGGACGACAGCAGCAGTTGGGACAGTCATGACAAGGGTCATGGTGGTCACAACCGTCATGACCTGCCCACCTGCAGCAACGGGAGCAGCCACGCCGGGAGTAACGGAAGGAAGAGCGGGTGCGGTTTGACGAGCATTCAGCTTGATCGTGGTTGCAGTTTGACGAGCGTTCAGCTTAATCGTAGTGGCGGTAGCCTGGCCGTTGTTAAGTGGAGAAGCTGAGGGAGATGCAGAAGCAGCAGAGCTTTTAGCGCTAGCAGTGGCAGTCGCTGCTGAAACGGAAGAAGATTTGGAAGCCGGGGCACTCTTGGTTGAAGGGGTAGACGAAGAGGCGGAAGCATTAGTCGTCAGAGTTATCATCGGAGCAATCCTCACCGTCAGCATCGTCACTGGCATCGCCCTGGTCATTTCCGTCATCTTCGTTGCATTGGTCGTCGCCTGCATCGTTACCTGAGGCATCTGCACCATTGTTTGAGGTATCCTGCACCATTGTTTGAGGCTGTCCGCACCATCGTTAGAGGTGTCATCTCCGCAATCTTCGTTGTCGTTAGAGTTGTCACTGGAGGCACCAGACGCAGACGCGGTGCTATTCGATGAGGCAGGGGTAGTGGTACTATTGCTGGCGCCAGTAAGAGAAGCATTGACACCTGCTTCCTTCATTCTGTTGTCGATATCTTGTTCTGTTGTACACACCACGGAAGTGCCGGCTTTGTTGACCAACGGTACGGCAGCACAGGTGGTGGCTATTCCAAATGGTTAGGAGACGATGATATTGGAGAGCAAAACACGCACTAGCAGGACAATCCATCGTAATAAACTTGCCCCCGTCACACAGAGCAAGCTTTCCACCAATACAAGCAATTTCACTCGCTAAGATGATATGAGTTCATTGGACGAAATAACAAAATGGAATGAAGTAAAATAAAAACGGACCATCACAAGTTGCATCTGCCTTCAGGTTCTTGAATTCCTCGTTTAAAGCCTGAGCATCAAGTCCGTTCTGCTTGCGAGTCGCAGTAATATCTGAAGAACCACCAGTGGTAGCGGCAGCAGTGCTATTTCCACCTTGTGCAGAAGAGCCAGCTCCGTCATCGTGCCCTTCATGGCGTGCCAAGAGAGAAGTGTTTGGTTTGTTAAGGACACGAAGGGTGTGGGTGCAGCCGAAACGTGTCCAATGAGGGACGCAGCAAAGAGAGCAACAGTTAGCAGCAGAGAAGCGCATCTTCGTAAAAGAGATTAAGAAAAGTCGTGAGTTGAAGTCGTCAAGACGGTATCCAGTCGAGGGTCGTGAAAAAAGAGGCGGCTAGCACCGAGACGGAGAAAGTCTAATGGGGGGAGGGGAGAAAGAGGAAAGAGCAGGCAGAATGGCCATCCTGGCCACGTCTGCATTTATAGTGATGAGGAGGCACCCAAATCGGCGCAAGTGCTATTGTATTGGGCATTGGTCATTGTACTTTGGCAACCCGCTATTGTCCTTATTGCACCCGTCTCTTTGCCTGATTCTCCGTACTGCGTGCCTGCATTTGTTCCTTGGGTGCTATGTCACGATTCGAGTATATCTAGCATTAGCTATATTGTTCGCAAGGAAATTTTTGGGAAGGAAAATTGTAGTAAAAGCCGTAACTCTCAAGGTTCCCTTCGTCCGCATTCTGCCGGTCTTCTCCATACCAAAGTTTCCACGTGGAGGTGATATTTCGAATAGCTGTTATAAGTCATTGAATAAACATGTTCCTTCACGACGAGCTGTGAACAATGCGGTTACACGCAAACTGATCATGAACTGCTGCATGTACGACCCCATTATAAACAAGACCTCTTTCTACGAATTACTTATATTAGAAGGTCCAAGGAGACTTGTTCTTACTTTCAATTAAGGTCAAGCGATGTAAAAAGTCGAAGATGGGAAATCGACTTCCGCAGACAGACGACACGGCCGGTAAATTTCCTTCACAGCGAGTGCTATAAGAACTGACAAAATCCTATTCTTTTCGTAAGTTTTCAACAACAAGCCCTGCTAGCTCAGTTGGTTAGAGCGTGGTGCTAATATCTGAATAAGATAAACACGCCAAGGTCGTAGGTTCGATCCCTGCGTGGGGCAGCTTTTTGGATCTTGCAACCTCGCTGTAACTAAACCAAGGATTCAATGTTTTTTTTCTACCCTGGCACTTTATTGTATTTTCCCCGTGCCTCGGCTATGCTGGGAAGAGCGAAGCGGCTATTCCCCCCCCTCCCCAGCCAGCCGCTCACCTTTTATGGAGACATTCCCACTTACTCACTGGCAAAAATTCGGCTTCATTATATTTGTTTGCACTACTCAGCAAGAAAATAATACTTCTCACAAGTCAGGAGCGAGTGAAGGATTATATACATTCAAGTTTGCACGGAAGTCGACATGCATCATCTCTGACTAAAGCCTCACCCCAAGGGGAGCAGGGTACTTTAGAGTCATTATACCTTTAAATCATGAATTCTAAATGTGAATCTAAGAGGCCTTGGTGAGCGTGAGGGGATTCAAGAGAACAGAGTCACACAGTCTCTCTGTCAAAAAAAAAACAAAACAAAAGCTTGCTTGTTTAGGGTTGAAATAATTGTCTAATCGCTTCGTGTCGAAAATGCACATCGAATTCACTAAAATATTAGCATTCCTTTTCTTTTGGCTACTTTCCATCATTGTCCGCCAACAAGCCTCGCTGGTTCCTCAACCCACCCTCTCCAACATTCAACGAATGCTGCCAACTCGGCTCCTTCAACGACCCGGTGATCGGCGCTCCAGGAGAGCGGAAGTTTGAGACGTCGGGCTCCCTACACGAAAAATGCGTAAATGTCCAGTACTAATTGATAGAGTCACAATTTAAAAAGCTTACGGAAGGGAATGTATCAACATCCCACACCCATTTGGCTCGTCCCAGAGCTACAATAGCTACTCCGCCACCTGGCACGAGGACAGGATGCGCAGACTCCCCTTGTCCAATCGCGCCAACGTTAGAAACCGTAATAGTCCCTCCCCGTTTCGGCATATCAGATGGAGTGAGCTGAGATGGAGTTTGTCGACCTTTGTACCCTAACTCTTTAACCTTGGCCATAATATCATACACCCCTAGTTTACCAACATCTTGGAGCGTGGGAGTATACAATCCAGATGGTGTACTTAGAGCAAGAGAGATGTCTGCCTTTGGGCGGATGGTCAAAGTCGGCTTTTGACCTGTTGCAGCGAAATCGGGTGTTATGGAGGAACGAAGGAGCGGCCATTCATTCATGGCAATAGCAAGGGTTTTGAGTAGGAAAGGCAGATAGGTGAGCCTTGTGAAGTACGCGTTGGGGGAAACATTCGGCGAGGAAGGAAGAGGATGGATGGCAGCTGGGTTAACTCAAGGAATGTCAATGGTAATAATAAGAAAAAAAGAGGACAAATTTAATACCTAATAGAACATCTGTTGACCGTCGTGATGATTCTGGGAGGTAGTGTTGGGGTATGTGCTTATTCAAAACCGGCAAGACTTTGTCATGCAGCTCGGTAATGTCGAGCGAGGTCGAATAGCCAAAATGTGGGATCTCCAAACTCTTTATAATGCATTCAGCACCAATAAACCTCTAACAAAACAAACAAACAAACCTTTTCCATCGCCTTCCACATACCATACCTCGTCCGGCCAAGTTCAACAATTACATCACTTGCACTTGGTAGGGAGGAAGACGAAACATCCGACGATGACCTATTCAGATAATTATCGACGTCGGATTTCTCAATTCGACCGTTCTTGCCGCTACCAGGAGCAAGTAAAGCCAGGTCAACCCCAGACCTCATTGCAAAGTGTCGAACGGACGGAGTAGCAAGCACATCAGTCTCGGGAGACGAAGTACGGTGGGACGGATCTAAAGGATGGGGTCGAGTAGTAGGTGCCGAAGGTGTTAATACTGAAGATAATGGAGTTGCGGAAGAAGAGGGAGCTGGAGTAACAGGCTGAGGCGTGATGGTCTCGGATGGAGCTTCCACTGTTTCGTCGCCCTCCTCATCAACTTCGATAATGCAAAGACCACTTCCAACTTTCGCAACATCACCTTCTTGTACGAGAAGTTGAGTTACGATACCGTCGAAAGGTGAAGTGATTTCCTGTGAAGGACAACTGGTCAAACGAACGAACCGAACATGAATGAAGGCACAAATTACGCACGACAGACGCCTTGTCACTCTGAACCTCACAAATAACATCGAAAGACTGCACAGTACTCTTAGGTTGGACACTCCTGTACGTGCACTTGGTCAGAGGAAAAACTCTCCGGCCGGAGCATCCAGTGTGCACTTACCACTTGATGATCTCGCATTCTGTGATTCCCTCTCCAATATCAGCAAGTTTAAATGTCTTTGCAGCGTATACAAGTGCAGAAGAGTGGAAATGTGACACTCGCGAAATTCCCCGAAGAAAGGGACGCGTAAGGAACATGGACGACCAAAAGCAAGTTCTTTGAACCCGAGGAACGAAACAAACTTGGAAATGATGGATCGACAATCAAATTCCCTTTCCTCCGCTCTCAACACAACTTTCCGCCCAAGTGCATAACTTAATCGAAAATCCCAAAGTCTACAACTACATTTTGCTCCCCAGCTATGAACGATCCACCAATACCACTGGCTCCAGCTCCTTCCTCATCCGAGTCGACAATAGCATCATAATAACTACGCCTTTCAATGTTGTCCTCCAGGCTAAATCCATTTCCCTCAATAAGTAACGGCATCCCTTCTTGGACACACCTCTTCAAATTGTTGACAGAGATTCTGGCCTCGGCATACGTCCCCCAGAAATTAACATGAAAGGATGCATTTGTTCTAGAGAGAACTGCGTCAAGTTTCGTCCAAGGGGATGGATCATCCCATGAAATGGGTATTGGAAGGACACCTGAGGCAAGTATGTCCAGCTCAAGGATTTGAAAGTTGGGCAGAGACATTGACGAAAAAAGTGTGAAGATGTAGGTGAGCATGCGTATCACATTCTTTCGTACAAGATATTTGGAATCTGAGACATCAAATGTCCCCAATGACAGCCTACGAAGATTGGGCCACTTCGGAATCTCAAAGATGATTTCGTCCGATTCTCTGAGCGATAAGTTAGGAGAACTGCCTAAAGCCTGGTGTAGGTCTCTCGGGCTAAAAAAAAAAAGACGCGAAATACCTTCAAACGACATCCGAATACTTAGATTTTCCACGAGAGGTGAGTGCTTTCCCATCCACTGCAGGAATGTGCTCCCTTGCTGAAGAGAATTCAAAGGATCGCAATGGAGCGTACTGATGCTGGAGAGATCAATATATCCCTCAAAAACATGCTTGTAAAGCCAAGTAAGTCCGAAGGCTGCCTCAGCAGTAACGTGGAGACCTGTTGCAGAGGGCGGTGAATGTGGGGGTGAAATAACAGTGTCAGGATATAAAGCATTCAACTCTACCCCGTCGTTATTCCGACCTAATGACAAATTGCTCAGTTTCACTTCAACTGGTAATGCCAAGAGTTCTTGCAAAAGGCTGAGAGCGACGTCACAGAAGTCGAATTGGATTTGCCTGAGAGACGACGAGTCCACGATCGACACGATGTGGTGAAAGATTGAGTACACCGTCTCGTGAGGCATTTGTGACATGATTCCCTGGATGACCAAATGCTCGAGGCCAGTCAATAGACCAAATACGTCGAAACTTTTTATGTGGTCGTCTGTGAGCGGTAGATCCCAAGAGGCAATGCCAACTCGGACTTCCCGAACAAGGCATGCAAGATGAGGTATAGACGATACCGAGACCACCAACGGCGATGACGGACCCCGATGGCGCATGCTTTTGAAAAGCAAAGCCCGTGAAGCTTGCCCTAAACTACGACAGACAAGGGAGCAGTTCTGATTAGTAGTCGAACGGAAAGCCCTTGAACCGTGCCAGACATGGCGAAGCAAAGAGCAGAATTGCTTCAAGAATTTCTTGTGGAAGGGAGAGCCTTAAAAGTGTCACGAGCGCTTCTGGGAGAGAATCACGCCCCATCACTCGAGCAATAGGTAATTAGTTATATTACAACCAAAGCTTCTAGGCAGCAAATATGAAAGAGAATAAATTTCCATCTTCAAAAGGGCACTCAGAAATCGAACATCCAAAATCCGTCGTCGCCCTTTTCTCTAGCCTCCTCATAGCTCTTCGGGCCAACCCACGTCTTAGTTCTGAAACCACATCTGTCAAATAGAAGTGGCATAGAATCATGAAGGTGCGCGACCAGATTGACCACCGAAATGTTGGATTCCGTATAGGTTCCCAGGAATTCGATGACAAGGGATGCATCCGAAAGGGACAAGGCGTTGTCTAGCTCTGTCCATGGAGAAGGCTCAGGCCATAATAAAGGAATAGGCTTATTGAGTTGATCCGCAATGTTAATCTCAAGAACTTGTAATGATGGGGAGTTGGAAATGAGAAGGCAAACGAAGGAGAGCATGCGTTTGAGCACCCGGAGTGGTGGGTGGTTGGTTGATATTTTCCATGTTCCGATCCAGAGTTGGCGTAGGTTGGGCCATGACGGAATGTCAAGGATAACAAACCGTGAAAAAATGTCTTCATAGTAGTCCGTGCTGAGGTAGACAGCTGACAACAATTCAATCAAGGATACCAAGCTCATTCATAACAGGCTTACAGTTAAAATCCATCTCCAAGTGTAGGTTACACAAACCTGGAGTATACCGACTAAGTACACAAAGATGACGGCAACTCTTCGGTGGTCCTTTGAAGTATAACTTTTTGAGCTGCGACAAATCGATGACCTTGGTTTGAATATTTGTAGCAATGCATTCCATGTCGGTATCGTTCGCCGTCAAGTCGAAAGATTGAGGCTGGGGGGACGAGAATCGTTCCGGGCACAATTTGCCTGTTGCGTAGTCAGGCTCTAAGGGCGAGAACGTAACGTAGTAAAGGCCAAGGGAAATTTTGAGCAATAGCATGCGGGTTAAGATACTGAGGTGCATGAGGCAAAAGCCAAACTCGATTCGGTCAAGAGTGAGGGAAACTCGCGGTTTCATTATGCCGCCAATACAATGCATGTTTTCTATTCCATCAAGCATCTCGAGAAGGCGACCAAAGATGCT